TCATTCATCCCTCTAGTGCCCGTACTGCCAAGGTCTCCCAGCCCACCCAGAAATTATCTGCTCAGAGGAGCGCCAGAAAAGCACCTATCCCCTCCACCTGCCCCTACCCAACCCACTTCTCATTCTAAGGGCTGGAATTCTCCTCTCAAAAGTTGATTGTTAAATTTATCACTTTCTCTCAGTAGGTTCTTTGGCCCTGCAAACACCGCTTCAAAAAGGAACACTATTAGTCACCTTAATGTGCATGCTTCTTATCAGATCATTTTCCTCAAAGACTCAAAGCGCTTACCTGTAGGAGCTGTGGGCAGCGCTGGGAGTGGCTGCTGGAACAGAGGACCGCGGCCACCAGGACTAAAGTCCAGGTGTCACCATTTACCCTGGGGCAGCGTGTCCTGCATGGCGAGCTGATCATGTGTCCTGCACAGGAGGAGATTGAAAACCCCGGCCTGCCCTGTGATTCTAGTGCTTTCTCCGATCCCAGCCTCAGACTCTGGGAGACCCTTGGCCCCACCCCCCCTCCCGGCCCAGGCTCTGGACACCCCCATGTTTATGTCAACAGAGTGGTTGCTGGAGGGCACGGGCTCCTGCCCGCCAAGGGGTGTCTGGAGCCTGTGGCCTGTTGTTTGTGTACCTCATCTCAGTAGTGACCGAGGGGCGGGCACGCCCAGGTTGGGTCTCTGGGGCAACAGGCTGTTGGGGTCCCAGCTGTTCCTGCATGTAAAGTACCCACTCCATCAACGCACTCCCGAGGTGTCTTCTTTCACAGAGCAAGAATTGAAACCTTCCCCTGGTGAGGCTTCTATTTTCCACCAGCCCCCCTGCTGGCCTCTCTACTCCTTCCCAGGGAGGGCGGCTCAGCATCCGGCCGTGCCTGACCCCGTCCCCTCCTCCTCAGCCACCTCCTACAACCTCCAAAATGACCATGGGAAACGGGACAGGGAGAGGCAGGCTGCAGCGTATCCTGGGCCTAACCCAGCCCCGTCCAGCCACTGCCACCCAACAGAAGGGGGCTGCCACCTGCAGAGACAGATTGGGAGAATGCCCTTTGTGGTTTCCATCCCCACTCCCCAGCTGTCTGGTGCCTCTATACCTACACACATGCGCACGCACACACACATACACACGCCCTTCATATACCAGTTGCTTCCAGAGTCCAATCTCCCTGCAAGAACTTCTCCCCTCATCCCTTCTCTCCCCTCCTCCTTCAGAACCTGGCCTCAGGGGTCCTGGCAGCAGTAGGGACTGGATGGTGAAGAGGTTACAGCATGACTCTGGAAGCACACAGCTCTGTTCTCATTAGCTGTGTGACCTTGGGCAAGTCACTTAACCTCTCTGGTCTCAATTTCCTCACCAATAAAATGTGGATAACAATAGTATCTACCCCCACATGTTTGTGAGGAGTGAGTTAATTTACGTGAGCTGCCTTGAGCAGCGTCAGGCCCCCAGTAAGGGATGTGCTAGTGTCAGCTCTCACTGAATTCTGAGCAGCATAACACAGTGGGAAATGCACAGAGCATGGAGGCTGACAGACCTGGGTTCAAATCCCAGCACCCCACTGACTCCTGTGTGACCTTGAACTGGATGCCGTATTTCCTATTTTCCTCCTGTGCAGGAGGGCGTGCTGATAGAAACTTCCCCAACAGTGCTAACATGGGGGATGGGGAATGCCTGCCCTAAAAAGAGTATAGTGGCAGCTGCAGGGGGAAGATCAGGCTCCTGGCACCTGATCCCTCAGATTAGCTGCTGCACTCTGAGGCCGGCCAGGGAGAAAGGAGAGCCAGGGACCAGCCAGGAATTCGGGCCCCCAGGAGGTGCCATAAATAGCCAGAGCAGTCAGAGGGCCTCCAGGGATGGGGGACAGGGGTAGGGGTAGTGGGGGGTGTGGGGGGGGTGCTGGAAAGGAGCAGTGGAAAAGGAAGCTGTCAGTCATCAGTCCAGGGGAGAGTCCAGGGCACTCTCCCAAGTGTCAAAGGAAAAACTATATGGGTGTGAAGGGAGCGAGGAGTCACCTCTTGAGAGAGGACCAGCCTGGGACCACCTCTGCACCATCTCCCAGCATGGCTCAGAGTCAGAAGATTTTCAGCACACTGTTGCACTGTTCGTCTCCACCCTGCAGGTCTTCGGGACCAGCCCTGCTTCCTCATTTTCATCCCTGTGACCATCCTGGAATAGAGAGCAATAACTTGACCTTCGTCACAGGTGGGAACACCGAGGCCCAGAGAGGCTAAGTGATTTGGCCAAGATCACACAGTGAGTCAAGGGCTGAGATGGGCATACGAACATGGACTTTTTTTTCCTCCCAATCCAGGGTTATACATGACAGCCATAGAACCTGTCCTCAAGGTGGAAGCCTTCCCCATGGGAGAATATCAAACTGAAAGACATCGAACATCAAAACTGCTTCCCCTTCCCCTAGACCGTTTACTTTCCTCAGTTGATCCCAGCGCATCACTGTAGCTGCAACAGGAGGTGGGGGAGGGATGCACGCTGATAATGCGTTAGAGATGTATCCATCAGAGCTAGCTGGGTGCAGCCCTGGAAACAAGACCAGCATAGGCTCAGAAGACCTGGACCCAAATCCCGTGTGATCTCGTGCACATCGCTTCACCTTTCTGAGCCGCAGTCCCAACTTGCAAAAGAGGCCAGAGTGAGATGGTGTGAGGACTAACTGAGATAATGCACGCTTGAGCGCCTGATGAATGCCCCCAATGCCATCAAGACCAGGAGTTCCGGGGCAGGCAGCACCTCACTCATCTCTGTGTTTTTGGTATTTGCTACAGTGCCTGGCACACAGGAGCCCTCGACAAACGTTGATCAAATAAAAGAATGACGTAAACTCCTTGCATTTAAATGTTGTGTGCGTATGTGACGATGATAATAATAATGTCCATTTGCTGGATCAGCTATCACTGCCTTTTCTTTGTGGACACGGGCACTACCACCACCACCCCGTGTTTACACCCCTGGAAAAATGCCTGAAAAAATAATCTCTGGGCAAGAATGCTTTTAGTAATAAGCCTAATGGATAGGGTGACCATATAGTGTAATGTCTACACTGGGACATTTTGGGGAGTGAAAGGGGTCACTAGTAGTAATTTTGTCTGGACAGTAAGTATAAACTATGACTGTCCCAGGCAAACCAAAATGCTTGGGCATCTTACAGGGTACTGTGCTGCTCGGAACTCTCTGCAGAAGAGAGCCCCAAATCCTCCAAACCATCCTGACTCCTATTTTCTAGTCAGACCTGGAAAAGGTACCCTACCTTCTCACCCAATACCATTGGGAGCTGAGTTCAGACCAGTTCCCCAATGTTCTTAGGTTCCTCATTTTCAGGACCCTGATCCCACCCTTCCATTGCCCTGAGGATGTCCTAGAGTGTTTACACTGCCCCAATCACAAAAACTTGTGGATCCTGCTAAGCCATCATGTGAACTGCAAAAATCATCCAGCCATCTTTCGATGCTGTTCCAGCTCAGGAATTTTTCTAGGGGCACCAGTCATCTCTCATTCATTTCAACAGACTAATAACCGTTCCCTCTGCTTCTGTTCTTTCCCATCTTTAGTCTATGGTCAACAAAGCAGCCTGGGTGATCCCATAAAAATATAACACGTCTCATCTGTTCATAGACAATGGCTTGCCATCTCACTCAGAGTAAAAGCCAAGGTCTTATGACAGCCCATGAGGCCCCTGCCTATTTAGGACTTATTTCTCTCTCTGGCCTCATCTCCTAGGACCCTCCAGCCACACAGGTGTCCTTGCTTATTCCTCAAACAGGCCAGGAATGCTCCTACCTCAGGGCCTTTGCACCTGCTCTTCCCCTCCTTGGAGGACTTTGCCCTTAGATATCCACATGATTATTTCCCTCCCCTCCTTCAGATCTTCTCTGTTGTTTCCTTTTCAAAGTCCTTCCCCAGCCACCCTATAAAAACATAACCCTATCCTTGTCACTCTGTCCACTTTTCCTGCCTTTTCTCTTTAGCACTTTGCACCACCAAACAGACCACATATATTACTTACCCTGTTTCTTGTCCAACCCCCTCAAGCTCTGTGAAGCAAGGGTTTTCATTTGTTTTGTTCTTTGCCATTTCCCCAGTACCTGCAACAGCATTGGCATATAGCAGATGTTCAATAAATGTTTGTTGAATGAATAAAGGACTGACTGAGAGGAAACATAGCACGGTGGTTGAATGTCCTCTTGAGTAAAAAGGCCTAGGTGTTAAGCCTGGCTCCACCTAGGGGCTTATGACCTTAAGCAAGGCCCTGAACCCTTCCATGAGCCTCAGTTTCCTCAAGTGTAAAATGGGGATAATACACATTGCCCTCCAGGGCTGTTGAGAGCATTAAGTCCAATTTCACACATAAACACTAAACTCACTGCCTGGCCTATTTCCAAACCTCAAAGCTTAGTAAATGACAGTATTGTTACTCCTGGAGGCCCCCAGTCGATTGGACACAGCATTATGTGTCCATAACAGGCAAATCAGCGTCCGCTCCCTTTGGGTAACAACTCACAGTTTCTTTCCAAATCGGCAGTTCTGATCCCATCCCATCTCAGGACCCTCCTTTTCTGAACCCAGGTTTCCCCAACCAAACTGTCCTGGGTCTCTTGGCCACCACTCCCTTCAATGCAAGCCTCATCCTGCTTAAATCTCTGAGAGAGCTTCTCCCCCAAATCTCAGGGTGCCCGCCCTGGGCCCCTTCCACAGTCCCCCCAGTGGAGCTGGGAAAGTTGGGTGGGAAACAGAGGGAAGGATATAAGGTGAGGGAGGAGGAGGGAGAGAATATGAATACTGTGTGAGCCGGTGGGGGGAGGGGAGCAGGCCAAGCCATCCCCACCTGCCAGCTTCCTGTCTTTGCCTGCTGATAAATAGGGGATACTAATGGCCAGATTTTCCATTCCCCTCACCCCGCACCCTCCTGTCACTCAATTAAAGAAAGATAGAGGAAGAGGGCCTGGGGGAGGGGCGGTAAGGCTCTGGTTATAAAGCCTGTGGCCCAGGGGGTGAGCACATTCAGCCTGGCCTGCCCTGTCCTCTTCCGTCATCCCCAGGCAGATTTAGCTGCTGACAGCTGCTTGGGACACTGCTGCCAGGCCCTGGCCCAGACCGTCGCCTCTCCTTTCTCTCAGTGACTCCGGTGCCACAGCCCCACCATGGCCCAGAAAGAAGAGCCCGCTGCGGCCGCGGCGCCTGCCTCCCAGAATGGCGAGGATCTAGAGGACCTGGATGACCCAGAGAAGCTGAAGGAGCTGATTGAGCTGCCGCCCTTTGAGATTGTCACAGGGTGAGAGCCCGGTGTGGCCAGGGTCCTCCTCCCTGGAAGAGTGTGTGCTGAGGGCAGGCGGGGGAACCAAGATGGTAACAGCAGGAGTCAGGGTCGAAATCCTACAGCCTTGGGAGTGCACAGGTGTGCAGGGTAGGGGCTGCAGGGGACCCAGCAGATATCTCTTGGTTTCTCGCGGTGACGCCCTGGACCCTCTAATCAGGGGAGGTGGGAAGAGGTCCATGGAGCTCAGAGCCTGAAACCTCCCTGAGGCCTCACGGTATTGAGGTGTCACCTGCCTCTCTTGGTAGAGGCTCTTTAGTCCCAGGGATTTGGTAAGGACGGAGGACGACACTGGCACATTTAAATATGGCCCCAGTCAAAGGACCTCCTCCCTCAGCTTCTCTCTCTGCTTCTGAGTGGGCCTCTCCTCTATCTGTATGTCTCTCACTCTTTCTTGAGAGCTTCTCTCTGGAGCAGAAGATCCTAAGACAGGGAAGACAGATCCATCCTTTCCCAAGGCAAAGTGAGAAGCAGTTTGTTTCTTGTTGAATCTTTTCTGAGTGTCCTCACGGGCTGTCCACCTCCGCCGCCAGGGAAACAGAGAAATTACAGTGCCAGTAACTCAGGCCGGGGCCAGGAGCTTCCAGACAGGAGGGATGTCCACACCCTCAGCCACAGCCTGGAGGAACCAGGACCAGGGCAAAGGGTCCAGAGGCTCCAAAGATGGGGCTGCATACAGGGTCCCTCTGTCTTGTCCAGATTATGTCATCTCCAGGAATAAAGCCAAGCAATCTTCCTCCTCTTCCCTCTCTGTCCCCTTAGCACAAAACTCTGCTAAGTCCCACAGCAAAGAATAAGAAGAGAATACGTGGGGCCACATTTCCTCCCTGAGCCCTAAAGCTTCCTTCATGGGAGTCTCCAGCAAAGAGACAGGCAGAGTAGCAGCCACACTAACAGAAACTTCAGAAAGAACAGAGGCATGATGCCCTCAGGAGGCAGAAGGAGCCCTGGGTAGCAATTTGTACTTGCTGTTTAAGCTTGGCAAGTGATTTTCTAGTCCTGGCCTCAGTTTTTTCCTTTGTAACACAAGGAAGTGACACTAGTTGACTCCTAAGGTCCCTTCCAACTCAGATATTTTCTGATTTCTAAGACAACCTGAGGGAAAATGATCCTAGTTCCTGAAGCAAGAGTTCAGGTAAGAGGTCCTGTGCCCAACCAGCTAATGCCACCCTCTTCCTAGGATTGAAGGAGCAGCAGGGCACAGATTAATATAGACTGATGGGGAGCGTAGGGCCACCAGGCCAAGAGAGTCCTCGATTCTAGTGGCTCTCTATGGAGGGGATCCTTTTCTGACACCTAAGCATGCTGGTCCATGCTGCCCTTGGTCACATACAGAGACACGTGCACACACTCGGCTCTGTGCAGTGTTGTGATCTCCCCAGCACAGGGCAGCGTAGGTCCAGAACAGAATTAGACTATGTTTGTTGAGTTGAACATGCCTTGGGGTCTCAGGGTGGTGGGTTTGAAAGATTAAATCCCCTGATGTCATTTACATTTGTCCAGGGCTTTATCACCACGGCATACTTTCACACGCACGAGCTCACTCGACCCTCAGCGCAATGCTAGGAGAGGGAGATATGTTATTGCCACTCTACAGATGGGGAAGCTGAGTGTCAAGGAAATTTAGTGACTTTTCCAAGACCACAGAACCAGTAAGTGGCAAGTCTTCTGACTCCAGCCCAGTGTCCTTTCCACTGCTCTCTTATGCACTCTGGGTCCCAGGTTTCCCGAGCAGAGATCCCCCAATCTCCATCTACGAGGTAGTGAGGCTCAGAGGCTTCCCTGACCCAAGGCTCAGAAAACGAGGCCCAGTGGGCAGCTTCCTGGGTGCTCTGAGAGCCGTTCAGGAGGGAAGTGGAGCCCTGAGTGTTTCCAGGCCACAGTAACAGCTGTGGAGATCTGTCTCCTGGGCCCCTCCGGGTAAACAGACAGCTTAAAATAGCCCAGAGGTGTGGCGGTGTCTGTGCAGGGGCGGGATGAGGGAGGAGCTTTCCTCTCCTTCTCTCTCCAGACGCCCTGGAGTCAGAGGGGTCAGCTCCTCTCCAGCCTGGACTCCCCCAGGGGATGGGTCTACCCACACTGCTCCTTAGATTTGGGCTGCAGAATAGCAGAAGAGCAGGGAGCTTTTCAGGAAACAGTCTGAGGTGAGGAGGGAGGACCAGGTAGGAAGAAGGAGAGAGATGCCCCGCTTGTCGTGATTCTGGTTTGAATAGGGCGCTCAGGATAGAAAGCAGACCTAAGCACATTAACAAAATAATGTGGTGGAAAGTGCTAGAAAAAGGTCTAAAACTGAGAGTCAATTGTGTGCATCTCTTCCCAACTCTGAGTTCAGTGACTTCACGTTGGCTTCTTGAAATCTCCGTAGTGGGAGTGTTGACAGAAATCAGCACACGGTGGAAATCAGGGTTTTTTTAAAGTTTCTCTCAGAGAGCTGGGTGTGAAACCAGCACGCCACTGAAGGAGAGAACCCTCTGAAAATGAGAGGAAGAGTAGAGAACACTTGGTAGTTCTTAAGATGGAGCTCTGAGGAATGAGATTTGAGGCACGGAGAAGGCACCATCCATCAATTCTAGGTTTAATTTCTTGAGTGTTGACCATTGTCTAAAATCTGAGAGGCTAAATTACTCTTTCAGATGAGGAAACCAAGCCTCAGAGGGATGAATAATTTGCCCAAAGCTAGTGGATGGAGTAGGGCGTGACCCCCAGGACTGTCTGACCCCAGATCACCACACTGCATCTAAAAAAGCCATAAAGAGGAGTCTTCTTATACTCAACAAATATTTACTGACTAGGAATAGTTTATTTACTACTCATTTTCCCCACTAATATTTAACTTCCGTGAGGACAGGGACTTTGCCTTTTAACTGCTTTATCCTAGCACCAAGAATAGTACCGGCTCCTAATAGGGACTCAGTAAATGTTTGTTGAATAAATGAATGAACTAACAAATGAGCGTGTTAGGCTCTCTGCCAGGCATTCGGATACGGAATTAATCGGGGAGGGCTTCATGAGGAGAGAAGTTTGGGATGTATGAAGATCCAGGAGTGCTGGGCTGAGAAGGAACGTGACTGGTTGCCACCTGCGCCGGAACCAGCACGCTACAGGGAAGCTCTGGGGCCCTGGAATTTGTTGTCTCCTCATCCCTCCATTCCAGTGATGAGTGACTGTGGCTCTGCCTGGCAGGACCCCTTGCTGTATGTTTGTCTTTGTCTCGGGTTGTGTTGTGTATGCTTGTGGATAAAGCTGAACCTGCTATCATGTTATCTCTGTTATTATGGAACAGAGATAAATGGCACAGTGATTCTCCTTTCAACCAAGTCTTTAGCTATCAGTGGTTTACTCTGGCCACGTGAGGAACACAGAGAAGAGGCAGGGTTCAGAGGAGAAGGGATGGGCAAGGAGTAGGGGACCTTCGACACCACTGTTAATGCCACAACCCCCTCACCCCTTCCCCTGGACTCGGGAGCATGCTGGGAAGGAGTGTTCCATTAAGAATAGAAGATAGCCACTGACTCTGGCCACGCTGGCCTCCACTGAGGGTTGATGGAAGGTGTAAAGATGGTGCCTCCTGGGGTGAAGGGGCAGGCTCAGGGATGGCCTTGGGCAGAATCCCTTCCAGAACTGCAAATCAGGAGCAAGCACACATCAAACCCCTTCTCAGCTCTAGGAAGTCAGGCTGTTAGATCGCTCTGCTTCTCTACAGTCTTTGTTCTGGCTATGCCCACTCCTTAGCATCCACTTTGAAAGTGGGCTGCCAAAGGGAAAAGGGAGCTGAAACCGGCAATTCTGCCTCTTTCGAGCAGGTCATGAAAGGTCTAGTAAGGAAAGCTGGATCAGTCAACACTCGGTTACCTGTGAGTAGATTTCCCACTCCATGGATTATTTTGGAGCAAATGTTTAATCTCAGATCAGCTTCTACTGTGCTCCAGTTAGCTTCCTTTCACTGTATAGATTTATGCATAGGAAATGCAAATGTTTTTAAATGTGAACATGAGAGAAATACATGTATCACATTTATTCAGATCCCTTCTCCCTCCATCAGGCAGACCATCTTCTCAACTTTTTCTAGATATTAGGGTTCTCAGTTTCCTGCCTAGAGAATTGCGATGCCCAGTAGTTTGGGTCTAAGCAGATGAAGTGTGAATGGCCTTGTTTACAGAAAGTATGAGGAAGTGGTGCTTAAAGAGGTGCTCTCTGAGGCTGGGGGCGGGAGTAGGAATAACGCAATTGGTTTCTGTGCCTGAAGAAGTACCTGAGCCCAGGTGAAGAAATCTACCATTGGCATCTCTCTCCTGACCACCGCTGTAACGTATACACACACCCATCCCACTTTAGCAGTAAAATACCTGCTGAGGTTGAGTGTAAAGGGCTATAATATAAGTGAATATGGTACTCAGGCATATCATGCTACTAGGAAAAAGAAAAAAAGATGTTTGTGATTATCCAAGAAATTAGTGTCACTATTTCCTTCCTTCCACTAGTGGGCATAATAGTGTTGACTGACTTTGTGATTCTGTAATATCACCCAAGATGGCCATGTTGTCTAGCTCCCTGGAGAAATTTCAGACCTGTACCACCTCTTTTCTCCTGGTTTCCCTCCAGGGCCTGGCTGTTTCAGCTTGTGGGAGTCCCAAAGAACCTCATTCAACCTTTATGCTCCTTCTAGAAAACCAAGAAGCCCATTGAGAAGCCAAGCAAGTTCAGTCTCTGAGCAAGCCCAAAGGAAAGACTGGGAGCCAAGACCTTCTATGACTTTCCTTTGCCCCTTGACAGCACTTCTCTTCTGAGGCACCTAGTCCAGAAGGCCCTGCTGAGGGACGGGGTAGACCTTGGGGCTGCTGGCCGGAGGGGTTGGAAACTGATATTTATAGAGAGGTGAACTTTCTTCCTCTCCCTTGGGTTTCAGGTTTCTCTGGGTCCTCTCCTTTTGCCTAGAGAATAGGAGGAGGGGAAAACATCAGAGCTTAAAAGCGGCTGAGAGAAGCAGCAGTCTCAGACCATCCAGCCAACTTGCAATTGCATGCTGGGCCAAATTCATACTCTCGGCTGGGCTGTACTTGGCAAACCTGAAGCAATACTTTTGGGGGTTCCAGAAGGAAACCTGAGGGAACACACAGGCAGCTATGGTTGAAGCCCTCAAGCCAACCAAGTAGCCGTGAATACTTCCAAGGGTTTCACCTGAGAATCCATCACACAGGTGGCTCTGGATTGGACTTGGGGAGGGGGATGGTTTGGCCAAAGGTCTTGAAGAGCAAAATAGGGTTTGAGCAAGAAGGGAAAGCTCTGTGCTTCTCAGGAGGAAAAAGCCACTCCAGGACGTGAAGGGACCATTTAGTAACTGGCAGAGTCCAGGAGTGGTCTGGTGGGGTGAGTTTAAATGGGGAGAGCTCAACATACATGAATTGCCAGCAGGGATTGAAAGAGGAGAGGGGAGTCATCAGGCCATCCATTCTCCCAGAATGCTAAGTAAATAATAAACACATCCAACCAGGGACAGAGGGACTTAGAGAGCTAAATATAGTATGCGAAGGAATCCCAGGGGTGGGTCCTCAAACACATCCATCTCCACAGTGGAAACTTAACTTGACAGCAGGGGACATGGAAAGTTGGGTGGAGAAAATGTGGTGATGGGGCGAGAGGAGGACCGCAGGGAGACAGCTCAAGTTCACTCAGCTCTTTGGCACCTGCTGCTTATCCCTAAGAAGCCCAGGCCCTGGGACACCAGGGATTCCCCTGCAGCCCAGGGAGTTGGGTGACCTCTCTGAGGAGAGGGAAGGGGTGTAGAGAAGCCACAGCAGAGTTAATGGTTGTCATAGGGTATCTTCCAGGGCAGCCACAGAGATTACATTTTTAAAAAGAAAACGTTCAGTCTTTCCAGCTGGTACACATCCCCTCCTCTCCTGACATGTTCAGTCTCTCCTGTGAAAGCCTCCTCATTCTCCTTGGCCTTCAAACAGCACAAATCTTCCCTATTTTAGAAAAACACGCACATCCACATAAAGATGAAAACAATCTTCAACTCTGAGGCCCTCTCTAGCCCCTCTCCTTTTTTCTCTCCTTATTACTACCAAGCTTTTCAAAACACCTGGCCTTTTTCTGCTGCTTTCATTTCCTTATCACCCACCTCCCCCTTCAAGCAGCTGGACATAGTCATCACCAAGTCTGGTGTCCTCAGACACCCAGGGGGCTTTCTAAATTTCAGGGTTTTCCCCAGCTTCACTCTATCTGCCTAAAGCCACACGGTACTCTTCCGGGCACATCACTTTTATTATGCCTTTCTTTACTTAAGGACCTGTAACGATTCTCTCTCGCCTCCTGAATCAAGGCTAAGCTTGCGAGAACCTTCATCATACATCCTCCACTCTACTACTCATTTTTAGCAGTCTTCTAACGTTCTCAGCTATCTTATTTACATCTTCTCTGTCTAGCTACAATCTAGCTGCTAGATAATAAGCATCCGAAGGGCAAAGGCCAAGTCTTTTATGATTATGAAATGACTCAATATTATATACAAGCTAAATCATATCAAGGTGCCCTTAGGTAGTCTGTCTTCACAGATAAAGATTCTTGGACATTGTTGTGACAACCTTTCCTTCACCTGAGGGAAAAGATAGACTTGAGAAACAGTCACTAGGAGAGCAAGGTACTGCAAGGTGTAGGCCATGCCATGCCTAAGATGCAATATGCATGAGTGACAAGGAGGAGACTTGAAAGCATGAAATGTTCTGCAAAATCTTGGTCTTGCTCTGTCACAAGAAATTTTACACGTTTGGTACTACTTGGTAAAATTACTATTTGAACACTGCTTTTCAAATCTGGCCACATATTAGGATCATCTGGGGAGCTTTTAAAAAAATGCTGATGCCTGGGCCCCCCTCCTGATGTTCTGATTTAATTGGTTTGGTGTTGGGCACAGGCATTGACATGTGTAGAGTCCTCTAGGTGATTCTAATGTATAGCCAGCTTAAAGATTGACTGATTTAGAAATGTAGGAGTGTGTTGTGTGTTGGGAGTGATGGTGGAGTGTTTGGAGACCCTTCCTAATGAGTAACCAGAAGACACAGCTCACTCCAAATTCTCTCCTTTCCTCCACATAAACCCTTTTGGATTCTTTCATGCCTTTTTGTCACTGATGGTAGCGTAGGCAAGGCCTATTTTAATAGCAAGAGTGAATATATCTCTGAGGCACTGATCCTGGAGAGCTACCTACTCCAGTCTGGTCCTAGCAACAAGAACTCATCACTCTCTCTCCTTCCTTGTCTCTCTGTCTCCTTGACCCACAGGGAGCGGCTGCCTGTCAACTTCTTTAAGTTCCAGTTCCGGAACGTGGAGTACAGTTCCGGGCGGAACAAGACCTTCCTCTGCTACGTGGTCGAAGCGCAGAGCAAGGGAGGCGAAGTGCAGGCGTCCCGGGGATACCTAGAGGACGAGCACGCCGCTGCCCATGCAGAGGAAGCCTTCTTCAACACCATCATGCCCGCCTTCGACCCCGCCCTGCGGTACAACGTCACCTGGTATGTGTCCTCCAGCCCCTGCGCAGCCTGCGCTGACCGCATCGTCAAAACCCTCAGCAAGACCAAGAACCTGCGCCTGCTCATTCTGGTGGGGCGACTCTTCATGTGGGAGGAGCCCGAGATCCAGGCTGCCCTGAAGAAGCTGAAGGAGGCTGGCTGCAGACTGCGCATCATGAAGCCCCAGGACTTCGAGTACGTCTGGCAGAATTTTGTGGAGCAAGAGGAGGGCGAATCCAAGGCCTTTGAGCCCTGGGAGGACATTCAGGAGAACTTCCTGTACTACGAGGAGAAGCTGGCGGACATCCTGAAGTAGGCGACTGGGCTCAGCCTCACGTGAGTCAAGGCACCATCTATCTCTCCATTAACTGTCAACTTGGGTAGAAGGCTTGAGGTCAGGTGGAACGAGTAATATGTTTGACTTTCCTCTGGAAAGATTTCATTTCTCTGCTTTTGGTTGGTTGTAAAAATATTCTAGTAGATCCCGTCTGCTTTTCTCTTTCCTTTAAATCCTCCCTAAATCCTTTTCCCTCCTACCCTTTTATGTCAAACTAACATTCCCTAAGACTTGGAATATTCAAGGTTGACAGGAATCTGAAAGCTCTGATGAGACAGTGACTTTCCACAGTAAGATTTAGATGGTGTTCCTTGGTCCTGTTCCTGAACAACCTCAGAGAAGATATTTCAGTCCCCTAAGCATGCCCCCGGTGTACCTGTGTCTGGACTTATTACACTCTGGACGCTTTCTAGATGCCCTGCTCCCACCATTTGTGATCTTACCATTCCATTTTTCTTGAAAGCCGGTTTTTCAGTCCTTTGGAGGCAATTTTTTTCATTTTTGATACTTTTGAAATTCCCCAAATGGATTTGTATTCAACCTTTTTTTTGGCCAGGGAAGCTTTCATGTTTTCAAACAAATGGTTCCACTTTGAGGGAGACTAGTAATTGCTATGTGCATGTATAATGCAAGAGCATTTTTCTTATGTTGAGAAGACCTCGGCAGAACTCACAGAAAAATGCTGAATGTAGGAATGGGGATAATAGAGCAACAAGTTCTATGCGGGAATCTTTAAAGGGTTAAAAAGATGTTTGTAAATTAGGCGGCAGCTAAGAGGTAGCCTCCTACAGATACCAGGATGTGATAGAACTGGAAGTAAAGATTAGCTATTTAAGCAAATAATTAGGACACAATTAAGGCCATTTGGGCCTCTTGCTGAGGGTAAATTAGACTCTTACAGAAACAGGCTGCTTACCCTCAGGAAAGAGGGTAAAGGATCCTTTGCTATCCTGTTTTGAATTTGGTCTGATCTAGTTTGCTCCCACAGAAATGCTATGACTAAGTCCCTTTACAAGGCCTAAGTTACTGATCAAAATCCCCCAGTAACGGAGAAAGGGTCTTCATCGCCCTCTTATCCAACTTTAATTCTGGAACAACTCACATATTAATAAAACACAAAAGCAGCATGCTTCCATGAAGATATTCCATTGATTTATGGTGTCTCTTACTGTTAATACTCTTAAGAGAAGATGTCACTTCGTAGACACATTTTGGAAATGCCCATGTTCCAGAGCTTAACGTCGGCAGGTGTTTGGTATTAGACACGCACACAGGGTGTCTGGTGACTCTCAAGCTGAGCATTCACCAATCCATGAAGTCACGATTTTCAGCCATTTCTTACAAAAAGCAGGACCCATTCACAGAATTCAGTGAGATAATGATGGGGTAATGTCACATGGTTCTCCACTCACATAAAAGAAGACACCATGCTGAGTGGTGGTGAATAGTCATAAAAACAGGTTTCTAAGGGTGACCTCTGAAAATACAGAATTAACTTTTAAATTTTTTGAAGATCTTATTAGTGTAGGCACTATCACTGTAATTATAAACTCTACATAGATTCTACAGGATGACGACCGCTAGCTTAATTTAACTCCAGTATACTTTCTTCTTAAACATATTTCCGAGACACGGGCCACTTCTTCCAACTGCCTAACTAGCAAGTCCTCAGGAAATTGTGTGCGCGTTATGTGTTGTTTGTTTTCCATTAAGTCAAATAATTAGGCAGCTAAATTTGCTATAAAATTAAGCATTTCAAGAAGAATTAAAAAGAGCTTTTATTTTAGATAATTGAGGGTCATATATTAATCTAAACAGAAGTAAAATAGATAAATCAGTGTGAGGGGAAAAGTTCATTTCTAAGTCAAATTATTTTAAAATAAAATATTATTGGACGTTTGTCACGTTATAAGCCTCCTTCCATTAGTGTACATAACTGTATTATCTGGACCCATTAACATGCTTCCCTGTACTCTGTGTTGCTCATGTTCCTGAAGAGAAAAGTTAAAATGCACCAAGTTAAAAAAAAACTTTTTTTGGCATGAGATAGAGTTGTAATCTAAAAGGCCAAAAGAACAATTCTGCTTAATTAAAATAATTCCAAGAAATGGGCATTTGTTAAAGAAAATTTGCCTCATATTTCTTCTTCCATCTTTTAAAAATAATGACAGAACAGGATTTAACCATATATTTAACTCAAGAGAACAGTTAGAGCGGATCTCTTCTGGGGCTCTGTGTGAACCATACCAAAACGTGAACAGAACAAATCCAATCCTGAGTCAACTAGAAAGCACCGGAGACTATGGAGGAGAAATTCAGGGATTTGTTGAGGAAGGCACACAGAAACCTTAGCTCAAAGGGAATACTCTTCATGGTTTGGGGCCAGCAGGGCTCTCAGTAACATGCTTTCTGTTTTCTCACTAAGGTCTGCCTGCCTCCACCGAGACACAGCAGTGACATGTATCGCCATCTGGGACGTGCCTGACTTCCTAATACCACTTGGAGCCAGACAACATGTGACACCAACCAATCCTACCGCACAAGGCCCTCCGAGGACTCAAAATACACTTCTCATGCTGTAAATCGTTTAAGCCGTGCCTCCCTCTCTAAGGCTGCTCCTGGGAAAGAGGAAAGTGAGTTGCAAAGGGAGAAATGGCAACCATATATGGGCACCGGGCATCGTGGGGCTGAAGGTCCTAATTATGCCCCAAATGGGCTGCTTAAGATGAAGAGCCTCAGACCGAAGTTCTGCCAGATCTTTGAAATATGTCCAGAAATACATTTTATGTTAAGTTGGTTTTTTTTTAAGAAAGAAAAACAGCAACATTAATAAAAGAAGTGGTGTGGCTTTTCTGTGACCAGGTTTTTTAAGGAGCTTGGACACTGAGAAGTTACTATGGACACTGAGCAAATCCCAGGAATAGGGATGTCCCCAGCTATAAACCAAGCCAACGCTGTACGGTGAGGCTTAACCCAGGACTTGTCCAGGTGACACAGGACACTAACTCTCCCATGCAGACTTCCCACCCTGGTTTTGACCTTCATAAAATATTTTTTTCTGAGATTACTTGTGAGTTCCTTTTCCCTTCTCTGAAAACAAGGACTATGACAGACGGTGAAACAAAAGGCATGGGAAATCTGCTTATAAGGTATCCAGGTCCCAATTGCCAATTAATAAGCAATTAGCTTCCTGATTAAAGAGGGGACGGTGAGAAGTGGGATGGCAATGTTCAGGTACACATAACGTAAGAGTAGTCAATACGTGTTACTTGGTGATGACAGGATGATGTCAAGGCTTATTTCTTAACAGGCCTGTTTGAGTCCTATGTAGAGGCAACATTTCACATGTGCATTTCTGGGTGTCTGCCAAACTCTAACTAGGTTTCCAGGAATAATGTGTTCATTCTGATTATCAGGCAATGCCTCCTTTCCCCAGGCTTTCAGTGTGATGTCATCAGAATTTGACCCCAAGACTATCTGCAAATGACAAACCACTTTATCACATCCCTGCTGGTCCCAGAATTCCACTTAACAGCCAGTCCTCCAAGAGACCAGGTTTACTCCATGAAAAAAATGAACCCTAATCCTTTTAAACGTAGGCTCTTAGAAAACCAATGTTTTGACCCAAGTGTTAAGATTTATTTGCATAGTTAAGCAAAATACTTTAATTCTAAGTTACCGCTTATCACCCTACTCTTATTTTCAGTTTTATATAGACATTCCCTCCTTTTCTTCCCTTCAATTTTACTGTATGTGGACAGAAGCAAAGCTCCAAGAAAAGCCTTAGCGTAAAAGCTTGACAAAGAGCTTGCCCCTGCACTGCCCCTACCCCAACATGGAAAGTTTCTGTTCCAGAGATACAAAAGAAGTGCAATACTTTCTGAAACTGTGGCCTCATATCAGGCTGAAATGTGATAAGAACACAAGTCTAAAGTACAGAGATTATATTTAACCAGTGTTTTCCTGGTGTTTCAAAAAGCCCCTTCTAGAATCCAGTTTTTTTACACGTGGGAAAGCAACAAGTCTCGTGACAGACCGATTCACTCCGGGGAGAAAATCAATAGTAGGTCAGGCTATTTTAACTCATAACTCCACAATAAGGGGAAAAAAAAAGAAACTCCACTAGCTTTCCCAACACCTCTTATACTGAACCACTGGCTAAATCCATGAGCCTTCTTCCCCCACCATGTAAACAAGAGTGGACAAGTGCTGCTCTCTTGGCTGAGGAAGAAAAGACTAATATTTACCATTCTCAATCCCAGCTGGCTGCACACCAGAATCCCCTGGAGCTTAAAAACACCAAGAAAGCCGGCCATCCCCCAGCTCCCTCTATACCAAATGAGAACTTTTTTTGGAGCAAGTAGACCTTTATTTTTCTTAAGAAGATTCACACAGATTTTGTTGTGATTTATTTTCATTTATTGTCATCACTTGTCATTACTCCGCACGAAGCACTTTGTCAGGCATTTAACATACTACATATTATTTCATTTATTTCATGATTGATTCAATCACAGAAACTATGGGGTGCACAGAATGGAGGAAGAGTTTACCACGAGGAGATTCTAAAAACCTGCCCTTCCACTATGTTGACCCACAGTTCTTATCCATTCTAGTTATTTCTTACCTTGCTGTTCTTCCCACTGGACCCTCTGTATGACTCTTCCAAATTAAGTTACAGGCAAATCCGCCATTACCCAAGTCCAGAACAACACAGAGATGTGCACAGAACCTCACTGGACCCCAAGAAAAAGCTATTTATTTTTCCATTTTTGTCACCACAAATTCCTTAACAACATAAAACTCTTCTTTGTAATTTAAACAAAACAAAACCCATAATGCTCTCCTAGAATGAATTTGATGACATAAAGATATTACCAAGTGAACAAATGACAAAAGATGCAAAATTAATTGAAATACTCATCCTTCCTGAAATTTCTCTTAAACAGCAGAGAAGTAGGATCAATGCTGCCACCTAGTGGCAAGCCAAACAAATCAGCTAGCATCCTGAAGCAAAACAGGAGTCATAGGCCCAACATCTGGTTTCCCTGCCTCTTATCAGGACATTTACTCCTTACCTTCCAGCAAAAAAAAAAAAAAACACAGCAACATTTCCCAAGCAATCCTTCCTCCAGGGTTCCAGAACAATCATGGGAATACAACAACCCAAGTCTGGCCTGTGACACAGACTACTTCACATGAAACTTTCCTCTGACCATTCTAAGGTCAGTGTTCCCAGTCCTTTGGCCCAGCAGGGATGACACAGAATGTGGACACATCCAAAATGCTCCTCTGTTCAGAGTGTGTACACAGTAATTCTGATGTCTGTTGCCTCAAACACCTCCTCAATCATCGCGGATACATGTTCCCACTGCAGACGATCAAGACCACACCCAATCCTGAAAAAGACAAAACATCTCCATTGGTTGTGATGAAGGTATCTAGGAAATCGCTCCTTCCCTCTTCTTTAGGCTACATCTACCCATAGCACAAAGACAAACTATCTGGTCTCACACTGATAGGCAGCCATAGTGGGAGTTTGAAAGTTAATTCCTGTTGAGAGTTACCCAAGACTGTTCCTAGACAGCCCTATCATCCTATAGCTGTCACTTCTCTTTTGCCTAATAAGGTACCACTTCCCGATTATTTCCACTACATTTAAAAATGTATACCTGCCGTGACATGAGTGACTCACTATCCTTCTGTGTCTACTGATGAAAACTAGCTGTGGGTGGATGGAAAAAGGTTGGTATTTTTAAAATACGCTTATGATAACAGAACGTTAAGGAAGATAAAATGGAGAAGAGGGACAAAGGACAGGATCTCTGTGAAAAGGAAGTCGAGATGGAATGCTGCGAAATGCCAAGCTGACTGCAATTCAGGTCTTCTCAACATGCTGGTGGGAAACTTCAACCAGCCCACAACACTACTACCTGGCACCTTCCTTCCAACAGGTTATTATTGACCCTCAACATCCCCAGGGAAAAACGAAAGGCTTAAAATTGCTAATTTCATATAATGGGATAATTAAGTCCCCCCAAAAGTTGTGATTAAAAAAAAAGTTCCTGATACATAAGCCATGAACATATTAAGATCAGTGTAAGATGAGGGACCCTGAGCCACATTCATAAAGTAACTTGGGCTTAGAATAAACCTGCATGGTCAGCACTGACTCAAAACCAGAGTGAGAAAACAAGAAATGGTGACTCCAAGCCTATTTCCTGAAAAGGAAGCAAAGGGGATACTGAACCCTCAGTGTCATTCCCTTAAGTTCTCAATAGCTGGGATCTAAGATGTTACATCAGGAACATATTCTCTGGCTACAACCCACGCTGACCACAAACAAGCATGCAATTTAAAAGGCAGTGAGAATTTACAACTTTCTTCACATAGGATTAACAGGTTTGGGACATCTTAAGTGGCCCAGAGAGAAATCACAATTGCTCAGTCTTGGCTCTTTAGCTTATACTGCTTTAGGGAGAGCAGCTAAGCTTCAGATAGAGGATACCCAGAATTCAACCAAGGTGACTAACAATGGTTCCTCCCTACTAAGTAGGCTGAGGCAGGTGTGTGTTTTAATCATCCTGATTCATTCAACCCAGGCTAAGAAATAGGTATGCCTTAACTTAAGGCCTGACAACTGGTTCACTAGTGATTTTAAAAAGTTTTGAAATTTGTCCACCTTTAAGTCTATATTTTGGGTTAAGTTAAGCTTTTAAGTCATTTTTCTCTGGGTAAGACAGTAAACCCCACCACCTAAATTAAGTCTTCATTTAGGGCCCTGGATTTCCTTGCCTGGGCATGGAGAGGTCAGTGACTCCATTCTTCAGACAATGGGACTTCATGGCCTCTAAACTCTTCCGTAAGTTTTCATAAGTTGGTTTGTGTGAAGCCCTTTTCTTTGTAATCTGAGTACAAAGAACAAATTCAAACTTCTGTTAATCCAAAATGATAGCCAAAGAAAAACCATCACATTCTCCCAACATCCTAATTAAGTATATTTTTATAGAATAGTCTAGAGCAAGGATGACAAATGTCACAGACTGTCCCTTCCAGTTATGTGAGGCCCTCAGGAAAATCCACTAAATAGGGCCTGAGAAACCCAGACACTGCCATGTAATACTCTTTCCTTCTCCCAATAAGCCCAGGAGATTAGCAGGCTATGCCTATTGTCTATTGTTTTTAAGCAAGGTAGGTGCAAGCCTTTGTGCCACTTCCAAGAGATAAGCTGCGTATCTGTAAGAACCCATACCACCTGAAAATTTCCTGTTAAGTCTATTTATTTAGAAACTGTGCTTGCTTGCTTTTTGTTTCTCTATAAGAGAACAGAGAAACTGGTAGCATTCCAAACAAGAAGTCCCATTGGCCTTAAAGACAGCATTCAAAGGGGCTAGGACATGTCCCCACTCAGCCTGCTTTCCAAATCAGGCTTATAGTGAACTGGCTGTATGTCACCCAGCACCATCACCAAGAAACCACACTCCTTCTGGGGCTGAAGACCACTTGGACAGTGGAAAAATCCCATTGAGGCAGCAGGCGGGAAAGGAGCCGAGTATTACCTGGATTTGATAGGGAAGAATGAGAGAGAAACCTCCTTGGACAATCTGTCTCTTGAGACACTACTGTTTCTCTCTCACCATGATTAGGAAGGAATTAAGTATGGAAGGCATCCCTAACTTCTGCAAGTCTTAGAACCCAGGCCTTTGGCGGATGTCACGGTACTCTTTCCATGGAACTGGGATGCAGCCTCATGTTCTTTCTAATCCAGTGCTCCAAACAGCCACCACCACTGGATCGAGATCAGAAGCTCTTGACATCCTTGGCTCGTCTAGACTGGAACATCACGATCAACACAACTGCAGTGCAGCCCATCTGTTCACCAATCCTCAGAGCGTACTGAGAATCAGCCCCGTCTTACCAAGTAATATATATATCGCCCATCTCTCTTCAGCACAGCCACTTCTCCAGATTTCTTTTCTAAGAAAAACAGTTATTTAATAGCAGAAAGAAAAAAGAAAACCAAAACACTGATCTCCACTCTTAGATTTTTAAAAAATCTTTACAAATCTGAGTTTACCTCAGGAGAAATAATTTTCAACTCTGAAGAAACCTACTGTCTCCTACGAACATTTTGCTCCTTATCGCCTTCCTAAATACTATATTCCTTAACTTCCAGCTTTCTTAATTGTTTTCCTCTCACCCCATCTTTTCTCCTGCCCCTATTTTCAAATACATCCTTATTTGTTCACTAAAGAAACTTTTATGTCTACTGCTTTGAAATGTTTTAGAATGTACAGCATTTTTTACCCGCCAAATGTGTGTTCATTCAATAATCATCTTTTTTACATACAAAAAGCTAACATGTTAAGCATTATGGGGAAACAGAGGTATAAAAGAGTTCCTAATTAAACAGTTTTCAATCAAGAGTAGGTGTCATGTTTACAAATAACTACAATACAAAGCAGTAAGAAATTGCTCTTTTAAAGGCTGGGGTCAGAATCATCAGTGGAAACTGACTCCGTAAGCCTGGACTGTGGTCTGAGCAACTGTTTCAGAAGCTCCACAAGTGATGCGAATACACATCTCTGGTTTAAAATCATTGGTAGAAAAGTGATGGGAGGGTCTGTATAGGAAGAGGAGGTTTCTAAACTCCTCTTTGAAGAATAAGTACAATGTGGATAAAGAGAGAATCTTGAATGCCAAGCTAACACCTGTGGACTTTGCTAAGCACTTCGGAGTTATTAAAGGTTTCAGAGAAGTGGAGTAATATTATCAAGAAAGTTTTATGACAGAGGAGGAAAAGATTAGAAACTTTTACAATTCAGATTTGATGTGATAAGGACTCAGACTAGAGGCCATTTCTGTAGAGGAAACAATCTGAAGAGTTAAAAGTACTCAGCGATTAGGAACTCCCTCTTTGCATGTATATTTTGTTTAATAATTAAAGTATAACAGGAGGTCAAGAGATGCTCTAGCTAGGGCAGCAGACTTAAGCTGTTTTCAAAACTCACGTTGATTTATCAGTTCCTGCACTCCTCCGAATTTCTTCTTGAAGAGGACAGCTATCCCAGCACCCATTCGACAATCCTCACTGATACAGTGCGCTAAAGAGTCTGTTTTGGGGCATGCAAAGAGGTCTCCTTTCACATAAGTGATCTAAAACATGCAAAAGGAAAGAAAATGTTTTATTAGATTCAAAAACATATTAAGCTATTTCTCTCATTTTCCTTTACTGTGTCCCCCACTCCCTCTCCTCCCCTGCCCCTCCTTGATTTAAAGCCAAATCCTCAGAATTTAATTTAAGGAGTTAACGACCACGAATTAAAGCACATGTAAAAGGGAAGAGATGGATGGTCTCTGCCTAGCACTGTATTAGCCTTTCAGAAGTAAATCAGCTGGAAAGAGAAAAAAAAAAAAAAGGCAATTCAATTATTGCTTTAATTAAAAAGTGTTTATGCATTTGACCTCAATCCTTCTGAACTTCAGTTCAGCAATAAGTTAATAGTTGTTACGCACTCTGCTTCCTTCAGGATCTTCATTAGGGCTGCCGGCCATGATACTGAGTGGCTATTTCCAGAATGTGTTTCTTCAGCTATGAGAAGGAAAAGGAAGCTAGGATGCTTAGGCAGCCTGAACATATTATACATTCAGATTGCCCCGACCACGCACTTAGTAATTTCCCCCCCCCAACGTTTATCGCTGAATTTGAGTTCGTTCGGCCTCTAGAAAGTAACACAAAACTCTCTGGTGCAAGCAGCAGCAGCCTGCCTCCCGAGCCACGCCTCCTCCCTTCTCCCGCCCGAGCCAGGCGGGTTTAGGACAATCTCCTTTTCCCTGCACCGCGCACAAGCATTTCCCCAGCGGGTATGGCCTAGAAGCAAAAAGGAATGACCTGGCCACAGTCCCCTTAAGCCGCAACGAGGGAGGGCGCGGGGCGGGGGGAGTGTCCCGCCGAGCCGCAAGCAGGGGACGGGGAAGGCTCACCCCCTCTTTTTTGGGGGGGAAGGAGTCTAGAGAACCTCCCCTTTTCCTACCCCAAGGCGGGTCAGCGAAGGCGTGGGGCCTGTCCTGGAGTCCCGCGGGAGGGAGCGGGGAGGCTCGCCCAGAGTCCCAACGTCCCGCGGTTACCCTTCACCTGGAAAGGAGTCGGCCGTTAGGAGTCCCGCCCCGCGGGGAAGGGCTCCGGATCCGGCCCTGGTAGGTGGGGAGCGGGGGACGAGCCCATACGCGGAACCAATCCCGCCACAGCCTTTAATTGCGCGCGCCTAAGATGGCCGCCCAACCCCGAGAGCGGGGCGGAAACGAGCCCCTCTAGCTAACTAGCCGAACCTCCACTCTTTGGTCGTGGCCGCCGAACTTCCGGCGGTAAATTCCGCGGAGTCTCCCGCCGCCGCCCGGGCATGCGTAACGACACAGCCCACCGCGAGCGGGGCAGAACGGCGCTTGCGCATTAGCCCCAGGGGTGTGTCTCCAGTGGCCGCATAGAAGGGGGAGGGCAGTTGGCACAGGAGCTAGTTAGCGCCTGCGTAGTACTATGTTCAGGGCGGTGTTTGAGTCGAAGGGTCTGGCGCTTCCAGAAGGCGCCTGCGTAATCCTTCGGCGGGGGGTGGTGTCAAATCGGGGAAGTGGGCGTGGCCGCAGGGGACGCCTGCGCAATGCTCCTTCAGGTGGGGGTGGGGCGAGCCCCGAGCAGAGGCTAGTGGGCGTGGTCTCAGAGGCGCCTGCGCGGAGGCGGTTGGAGGGAGGCCCGATTCCCCTTTGTTCGGGTTCGCCATTTTGCGAGGCAGCGGCAGTGGCGGCGGCAGCGGCGGCTGGAGCCTCTGATTGGGTTTCGGGGTCCGGTACTGGAGCCAATCAGCGCGGGCAGCGAACCGGGGGAGCGAAGCACGGTGAGTGTGAGGAGCCAATATCCAGCGGCCCAGAGCCGGCCCCAGCGCCCCGATTGGCGGGTCTCGCTGACCACTCAGGAGAGGCCCAGGCTCCCGTCGAGCCCGGGGAGTCGAGCTGAGCCTCGCCGAGCCGGGCGGCTGGCGGTGCGGGCCCGGAGCCTGCGAGCGCCCCGGGGCACTCCCGGCCGAGGCCTGCAGGGGGCCGCCCCGTGCGGGCATGGCGCCCTCGGGAGCTGGCACCTCGGGGTCCAGACCCCGGCGGGGTGCTGGTGCCGGTTGGGGATGCGTCCTCGTTCCCCGAGTCTTAGGTCCAGGGTCTCAGACCCCAGGCTCGGGGTGGTGGGCTTGCCTGCCGCGGATGCTCCTCCGCTCCGGCGCACACACGTGCCCGGGGCCTCGGCCGTTTCCTCCCGGTCGGTCGGGCCTCACACTTAAGCCCGCCCTTGCACCTTCCACGCTCCGGTCCTCGGGCCGGGCAGTCCCCCCCGCGGGGCCCGCGTCCCCAGCCCTCCGTGAGCCTCGTCTGCCGTCTGCAGCCCTCCGGGGTCGGGAAGGGGGGCCTGGGCAGGACGCGCGCGGCGGCCACAGGGCCTCGGGTGCAGCGGGAGAGGGGGCGGGCCCCCCCCGGCGCCCCACGGGCCCGCCCCGCCGTCTCCCCGGCCGGGGAGGGGTCCGTTAGTGCGCCCACTCCCCTGCCCCGCCGCCCCTCCCGCACGCTCGGCCCGGGTCTTCGGCCCCGCGCCGTTACCACCCCCTTTTGGCTCGTCATTTCCTCTCCTCCCCGCCCCGCTCCCGGGGCAGCACCGCACACCTCCGGCTTGGAGTCCAACCAAGCGGTCTCCGTTTCTTGGCTGGGCTGTAAGGCCGGTCCATTCGGTGCTTGGAACCTCATCGTAGAAGACTCTTAGCCCTGCTCATTCCTTTTCCCGAAGGCTGCACAACCTGCTTTTCATACTAGTGTTACCCACTCCTCGTCTTGTGAACTCTCCCGTCCTTGGGAATGTACAGTTCTTTTCTTTCACCTTTTGTCGCTTTGAATGTGTAAGGCTTGTCTCTTAGCTCAGTTCATAGCCATGTCTTGGTTTACTTTTTTTCTAATATACTTTCTAATCCCGTGTTAACGTTTTTTTAGCAGATGTTTGTAGAAACTTAGTGTTGTGGGGTTTTCGTTAGGGTGGAAGGGACTCTCCATTGACAACCACGTCTCCAGCAGTTAGTATCAAGCGGGCATAGATCTGTGTCCTGGGCAGCAAGTAGGTAGAGGGAAATAACCTTTTCCGCCTGGTGAGATTGACAGGTGAACAGCTGATTAGTACCTAATGGCTGTAACGGGGCCAAGTTCAGTTCAGTGAAGGACTGATGTGTGAGCTACCAACAGCCTCGGTGGAAGGCTCAACATCGCCACACTTTCGATTGGCCATGAAGGACGATGGTATTTTTTTCGAACAGGAAAGAATGGAAGAGCGTTGCTCACAGAGAAGAGCAAATTGTGCCGTGCGTTTGAGGCGAAGATAGGATAGGGCAGTGGGCAATGCTGGTGCGAGTTGAGACTGGAAAGCCGAGTTAGTACGAGCATTTGTATATCTTGATGAGGAATTTTGCGGAAGCAGTTATTTTGTGGAGGTTCAGATAGAAGAAATCTAGAAGTATGTTTTTTTCTAAGATTGGAAAAACAAGTTTCTGATTTGTGGGGTTCTGCCCGGTAACAGCGGCTGACTTCTTTGGGGGAAGAGAGGGAGATTTTTCTCCTAGGCCTTTAGAAGTTTTGACTCCTTTGAAGCACCTAGTGCAGTCGCTGGCACACACAGTAGGTCTTCAGTATATGGTGCCCATTTTTCTAATCACATTTACTAAGATCATACAACTGGTAGGTTTCAGAAAACAACTAGTCCAGTGCTTTCTCTACTTGTCAAACTTTGGAAACAGTTTTTGTTTTCACTTTTTAGAATGTTTTTCATTGTTTAAATCGTTTTCTTAAATTCATTTAATTCTTACTACATTATCCATATTAAAGGAGAAGCATGTCTTAGATATTTTTTAGAACACTTACATTTGCCTTTGGAATACATGTTTTAACGTTGGTATTCAAAAACAGGTATATCTGGTCACTTGAAAACCATTCAACACTTTCGCTAGACTTCTTTCTAAAAGGCAGTTATAGTCTGGTCACTTTTTTGCTGAACACCTCTAGGGCCTCCACCTGTCTGCAAGAAGAACTTCTTTGCCTGGAATTTTGAGAGCAGTGGTCTAGCCGCCAGCCTTCTCTTGACATGGGGCCTTTTAGTCTGTTGTGCTATGCTGAAATTTTTCTGTCCTTGTTTTTATGCTCTCTCTTCGTTTGGAGTACTCTGCCCCCTCCCACATCATCATATAGTATAAATCCTTCTCACACTTAAGACCAGGTCAGATGTCATGTTTTCCTAAAGCCTTTCTTGATTTTTCTATTCCCAGCAGGAAGAAATCTCTGTCCTCACAAAGAAATCTCTGTTCTCCAAACTCCCATATTACCTTCTTCCTCTTTTAGGGTTCTAGTACATTTTTACTCCTTCACTAAACTTAAAGACTCTTTGAAGTTAGAATCTTTGTCGGAGTTTTCTTTTTATTTCTGAAACCTTCAGGACAGTGTCTGGCACATCATTAGTGGAGAGGAGGAGCAAATTAGGAACTCCAATCCAGAAACCTCAGACAGTGCGGAAGCTGGACACGCTGTGTTCTCTAATCTTTTATCAAACAGATCAGGACCCATTGGTTGCATTGTGAAATCAATTTAGTGAAATCAATTTAGTGGGCCAATGCTGATTTTTTTTGTAATAAAATAGAAAATATCGAAGTGCATCTTATGTTACATAAAGATAAGTATTCGTGAAACGTTTCTTTCAGTTACTTTTTTTATATGTTGTGTGTGCAGTGATTTGTGATACGAAATGTGTTTCTTACTGTGAATCATGGTCAAAAAAGTTTGAAAGCTACTGTTCTAGTCTTTACCTGGTAGTGATTGTCAAATCCGGTAATTTTGAGGGGCTTTTCACATGTGTATAGTTGAATTTCTGGAAGTCTTAGCTGTAAAATGTATGTAGGGCCACATATGAGTTAGCTACATTTCAGGTTCTGCAGCTTGAATTGGGGAGGAAGAGAATTTTCATGCTAGCCACAATAAACACATACTCTTTGTCTCTGAGGAAAAATCATTCAAAAGTTTGGGTTAGGAGCAAGAGGTAGGCAGACTAAATCTGGCTGACTCAATTTGATCAGAATCGTGGGCAGAGAAGCACTTGAGGAAAAGCCATAGTGGATTACATTGCAGTTCTGCTACCTGAGACTCACAGTAGTGGGAACATGGATTCACTGAAGCCAAGTTGTACACAGCATTCACCATTAGCAGTCTCAATATCATGCTCATATTGAACTGCCTCTTTCGTGTGAGAGAGAGTTACTATTAGATTTGAAGCTGCTTCCTTTTTCACCCTTCGAAGGATAATAGATTTAAATATTTTAAAATTGGAGCATTTGTATTACTAGGATGAACTAGTTAAGAAGAAAATCTGCATGACAATATATTAGTCATTGCCATGTCAATGATATATTTCTTTACATTTCCAAATGTAAATTTCTGGGAATTAGTGGTCAAGGAACTTGCATACAGGAAGGGGTTTGGGGTGGAGGAGATGTTGAAATAATGGAGGACTTTCCTTCATGATCCTTATTTTTTAAATCAACTTTATTGAGATGATAGTTTAGACACAAGGGTAATCGTTTTAAGTGTACATTTTGATGAATTTTGAGAAATTTACACACTTATGCAACCACTACCACAATAAAAATAATAAAACATTTTCATCACCCCAGAAAGTTCTAGATGCTCTGTCCCAATGAATTTCTCACTTTCGCCTCTCCCCTATTTTCCAGTTCCAGGGAACCACTGATCTGCTTTCTGTCTCTAGATTATTGCTGTCTTTTACCAGTTTCACATAAATGGAATCCCATACACTTTTGTATCATGACCTTTAATTCTTTAGTTTGAGTAGTTTAGAAACATAAGTGTATTGTGTGTACTGCAGTTAGAATTTAGGGAAGACTGCAAAATAGAGTTTAGGGAAGACTGTTCGCTTCCCTGGCAGAGCCCCTTAGTCTGGCTGAAAAACCCAACTTCTTTACTGTTTCCAGAATCTCTCTGGAGCTGAGTCAGTCAACCAATTCAGAAGAGATGGATATAAAAATCAGAAAGCCAGTTTGTCAATATGCAGTGAGAATAACAAGTTTACTTGTGTTGCAGATCGTATTTGCTCCCTGTTGGCTAATTTATATGTAAATCCTCGTTACAGTTAGATATTTGCTTGGTGAGAATTCCGTTAGAGCAAGGGTAGTGAGTTGGAGAACCATATGGCCACAGGTCATGGTGCTGTGATGGCATAGTCATCCTGTCACTTATTTATGGCTGTTTTATACTACGTATGTTTTGGTTATGAGTAATAGGCTCTATTAATTTTTACAGTATTTTTTCCCCAACATTTTAGTATAAAAATTTTCAAACATAAAGTTGAAAGAATTTTACAATGAATACTTGGATGCCCGTCACCTAGAGTTTAGCATTAAATTTGTACCATACTTGCCTTATCAGATATCTGTCCATCTCTCCATCCGTTTATCCATCAATCCATCTTATTTTATGATGCATTTCAATGTGAATTTTAGGCATCAGTACACTTCTTCCTAAATAGTGGACATGCATTTGAATATATTTTGATCTCTTTCACACCATATTGAGACACCTTACAAGTGATTAATCTCATCCACCATGTTGGATTTATGGAGAGTGGTGTGTTGTTTGCTGCTGTAATGTGCAGCTCATATAGCTCACATAACTTTATCATTTAAATTTTAGAATTTATGAAGGCCTGGAGAAAAATTGAGGGGCAAAGATTTATTTACATTTTGTTTGTATATACCTGTACCTTCCCCTCCTTTGGTAATTTCTATAATTTTAAATTTTTGAATCAAGTCTGTCCTTAAGGTTCTCAAATATCACTTCAATTTACCTAATTGTGTCCTCATTTCAAAAAGGAGTCTTCAGCTGTTAAGGTGTGTGAGAAGGGTAAATTTGGACATTGAGTATTTTGATGATAGTAAGGACTTATTAATTTTTTAATGTTTGAAATGATATTGTAGAGACACAATATCATTGTGATAAAATCATAAAGACCAACGAGTCTTTAGAGATAGGTGCTCAAGTACTTACAGATTTTTGGAATAATATAGTGACTGGGTTTTGCTTCAAAATAATCCAGGGGTGGGTGGAAAGTGGATTAGATATATGTGAAACAAGATTGACCGTGAATTGAAAATTGTTGAAAGTTGGATGATGGCTATGGGGGTTCATTACAATGTTCTCACTACTTTTGTATATATTTGAAAATTGCCATGATAAAAAGTTAAAATTATATAATAAAGGATGGGATATTATTAGGCATTCAAATTCAAGAGTGGGGAAGACTTAAGTTCCTTTTAGAAAATCATAGTCTTAATATGTCATGTAAAATTTTTCCTTCTCTCTTATCTATAAATATCATTTTCGCATTAGTATAATTCCTTTTTATTCCTTGCTCTTGCTTAAAATGCAAGCTCTTAAATCTTCACCAGGGCTTGCTTTCTTAACACTATTTAATGGAGATTTTGATAAGCAAAAGAAAAATCTTCAGGTCTAGGTAATTTACTTACTAAATAATAAATCCTGAAGTTTTAAATTGCTTACTATATATATGTAGTGGACTAGAGTTTGGTATGGCTAGCAGCAAATGTGTGTTACAAATTAAAGAAACAGTTTAATCTCTGAAGTACCTGTGCAGACCTGAAAATCCTATTAAATAGGCCTTGTAACAAAGTGATATTGTAGCTTAATGAGTGTTTCTAAGGTGCAGCTTGATAGTACTTAAAAGTAAGGTTGATGATGGGAAATGACTAAAAACATTTTAAAAACATGAAATAGCGTTATGATAGTGTCATGGTTGTGCCATGTAATACTAATTCAAAATGATCCTGAATATAAACATTTCCCATTCTCTTATTCTGTTTTCTCGCGAATAAAGTACAGTGATAAGTTATCAGGTTAATCATCTGGCAGGTCCTTTATTGACAATCTCACTTTAGTTTCTTTCCCAAACTTTTTAATAGGGGTGCGTCTCGCAATCTTCTTGGATCTCCGGGGTGAAACTCACTGTGGACAGGATTCTACCTTGGAGGGACCATGGAGCAGTATACAGCAAACAGCAATAGTTCGACAGAGCAGATTGTTGTACAGGCTGGACAGATTCAGCAGCAGGTATGGGAGTAAAACTGCTTTAAACATCACAGCAGTGGAGCTGATAACAGCACCACTAAATTGGGGAATGATTTGAGAAGTATCAGATCTTATGAATAACGAGTCTGATGACTTGTGCTGAAGTGCTTTTTGAAGATTGGATTTGTTGTGATTTCTCTTTTGTTCTCTGTGTTAGAACGCTTTATCTAGTCCATGACCACTTAGAATTTGCTCTTCATGGGAGCCTGGTTTAATAGTAAATTGTCCCTCTCATCTTATTAAAAGTCACAACACCTGCTCTATTTTCAGCTGGAAATTTGGAGTTTTTGTTTTTTCTGAATTCAATTTGGTTGTTTCTCTTCTTGATTAAGCTAAGCTTGTGATCTAGTGAGACTTTGGCCACGACAGACAAACCAAGGTAGTCAGCTTCCAAGAAATCCACTGTTCCTTGCTTTGATCCACCACAGTTGCTTACTCTGCAAAGCTCTAGTTTAGTATGAGGATAACATTCAGACAGCCGCTCTTAATGGATAAGCACATATTAGAAAGGAATTCCCTGCTGCTGGTTTATTCCTAATTAAGATAGGTTGCTTTCTTGAATTTCATACAGAGGTTACATTTTCTGATGCTTTATACCTGGCTTTATTTTAGTAAAAGTTCACTTGTTTTTCTCTCTAGAAGAAATTTATTATTATTTATTTGACCTTAGGCCAAGATTGGGAGTGTTTTGTTTCCAAAATGGAACTTACATAATATAGAAGAGCAGTTAGTAGGAAGGGCAAAGGAAGTTTTGATGGTAAGTTGTTCCTAGCTAATTAATGATCAAAGGAAGGAGCTACTCTTGAGCAAGAGATTAATTATTTAAATTCCTTTTCTAGCTTTTCCTTCCACACAGCTGCTGTGGCTCTGGCAGCTTCCTTCTACTGCCTGCTTAGAAAAGGGGACTCCACAAAGGGCCCTCCATCCATACCAGTGTCCTGGTGGGTGAATTCTTGTTCTGTCAGAACTTACCATTAGAGGATATAAAAATTAGGTTGGATCACTGAAAACGTTGCTTCTAAGGTAGTCCAGTTGAGTAGAAGTAATCTTAGATTTGGGGCAGAAGAGCAGTGACCTCATGAAGATGATTTTGGTTCACAGTGATTCCTTCTTTCTTTCTTTCTGGTGATTGCGTTGAGTCCCAGAAATTCTTCATTGTAGCTTCAAGGCTGTTGAAACCTGATAACTTTGTTCTTGTGAACTCATTTGAGGAAATAAAAAGAGCATTAAAATAACTATAAGCGGAAGGATCAGATGCCTGTTTCTGGAGGGAAAGACTGTTAAAAATTTTTATGTTAATGATGACAACTATTTTGATGTTTTTTGAGTCATAAAAGTGTTTTGAGTTCCACTCTGGCAACAAAGGGCTGTTATCTTTAATCGTGCTACCTTCCACAAAACAGCTTCAGTATAGGGAGTCTGTACAGTGTGAAAGTCCTGTGTAGGATGGGACTGGTGAAAGAAGACTCCCTCCCTCTCCTGCAAGAGGTAAGGTGATCTCATGTCTTGAACTATACATTTCCTTCCTGACACATTTCAAGCTCTTCCTGTTCCTGTTCTCAGCAGCAGGGTGGTGTCACTGCTGTCCAGTTGCAGACTGAGGCCCAGGTGGCATCCGCCTCAGGCCAGCAAGTCCAGACCCTCCAGGTAGTGGTGCCCTCTCTGATTCTCTGTAAGCACTGCATGGACTTCTCCTCTCCTCATGTCTGGTGCTGTTTGTGGTAGGATCTCAAGGAGGAATGGCAAAGTCAGTTGCATGTCTTTGAAGCTGCTAACTTGTCTTTGAGGCTTACAAGCTGCTGGTTTCCTAATGTTTCACGCCAAGTCATATAGTGACCCTAGTATCAATTTTCTGAAAACTGCCTTTGGCTAGTGTGTTTCTTTGGGAATGCCTGGGAAAGAAGCAGTGTAAATAACAGGAAGAAATTCTTACAAGCAGCATTAGAACGTTTTTAGAGCTCAAACTCTGTAATCAGAGTGCATGGTATAATTCCATAAATTTGTATTATACTGGTGGATAAGAAAATATATGCACATTAACTAGGCTAGGTTGTGTTTTATTTTTATTAAAAAGGCAACTCAGCTGCAAAATAATCATTGTACTTGGCAAAGTTTATCTAATCTCTGAATCTTGTTGATCTCTTAACTGCTGCCTTTTCACTATCTTTCCTGGGGAAATCATGACCTACCTTACTACTAGATCTGCAAAGATTACCCCATACCAGTGGTTGGACAGAGGTGGGATACGCTTTCTTTAAGTCTTAGGTGTTAAAGCCACCATAAGAATTCTTACTTAACTATTGCAGTTTCCTAACATTAGTATGGTGAAGTTAAACATCCTAAATTAGGGTTGTATTTTGGCCAGTTCCTATATAAAAATAGGAGTAGAAGCGTTAGTCTTTTCTCTGTCTGTAGGTTGCTTTGACTGACCATAATTTTGAGAAATTGGCAAGATTGAGTGCCCTTTTTTTCTTCCATTGAATGGAAATAACTCAGAGTAGGACCTAGAATGTATAACTGGCATCTCACTTTGTTACTAGTGCTCTAGGCATCCTGCAGTTAACTACCCCTTGTTATAATCATTTCACTTGACCCTTTCAGCCCCACTCCCGCACCTGTCACCCGTAGTGTTTGATGATGGTATACAGCGAATTCTGAACATAAATTAGGCTGAAAGAAGCTGAGCTTGTAGGTACTCCCAAACTATGTTCAAATCTCAAAGTTCAATAGCTTGTTATTCATGTTTTTCATGCTTGCTTCATCTTATTGATATATAAAACAGTATTGTCATTAACCACTTGTGGAATGGGAATGTAACATGCTCTTAACTGTATGGCTTCTTGTCTGATGCATGTGTCCTTGTAGTCATTCATATGTTGTAAACACAGTGGGCTCCATAGAGTCTCAGATGGTTTATTGTGTGCACATATAACATGTCCATGAGGGGAGAAGTTAAGATGATGGATAGCCAGAAAATTATTAATAGTTGTGCCTTAAAACTTATGTTTCCTACTTAGGTAGATTTTATTTCAAAGAAATGGAAACACTTTATGGAAATCTTTCCTCTAGGGGTCTCATTATTTTGGAGAATTTTAAATAGTTCTTTCAGTTATTCATGCAATAAATATTCTGAAAAATCTTTCCTGATAGAGCATATGCAAGCATTGGTTTAGCAAAGGGAATTTGATTTGGGATGGGGATGTAAGGGAAGGAGAAAACATGAGAGAAGGAGATTGTACAGTCCTTGAAGGTGAAGTGGAATTTCTCAATGAACAGTTTAACAAAACCTAGGATTTGAATGTTCCTGAAGATTCTGATACATTGGTGTTGGTGGTGAGGGGAGGGAGTCTTAATATCTAATCTACTCATCTAGGACAGATTGATCTTTTATGTTAACTAATTACCTCTATTTGAACATATTTTGGCTGGCATTAAGACTGAATGTTTTAGTCATACAAATATTCTTTTGTTCTGTTACAAATAATTCCTCAAAACAAAGATAGAATCTGAAAATGAAAGTTTCGGACTTTTAGCTATTCTCTTGAACATTCCTTTTCACTTCTAACGTGGCTTGTTTTTTTACTTCCAGAAAGCATTCTGTTAGCTAGGTATTTTTATATTGGGACTCAAGATGTTACAGAGCACTTACAATGTCCTGGCTTCCAGAATATTCTGTTTCCTCATAGTAGCTTGAAAGTTGGGAGGTTTTTAGTATGATTGAGTGCTCTATGTAATTTCCATATTTGTCATTGCTTCTGTTAAATTTAAAATAACTGTGCAGATATTGCAGAATAGCTAATGTGAGGAATTCCACCACAGAGATTACAAACTGACCAGAAAATATTTCTACGCATTTTTTACTAGTGGGCTCTTCAAACAACCACCAGACTAGAATTCCCAGCGTAACATGAAGAGGGTAAAAGGTGTACATTTCATTTATGCTTGAGAGACTGACGATGGGGATAAAGGGTCTTCCACGTAAACTTCTAGGGCTGTTTGCTACCCAGCCTCCTGGAGTCATTGCTGAGTGCAGTTTGATTTACTCCTTCCGGGTTATTTAGAATTTGCACTCAACCACCATCAGCTATCCCTCTTGGGCATGCTCTCCAGCCCTCAGTAGAGACCATTCCCAGGTATTGATCTAAAAAGACAAATAGCCTTGATGTTTTGATTAAATGCTTCTCATGGATTTAGCCTATATTTGGTGATAAATGCCTTATATCTGTTGAGACTTCCCAAAGACTCTGGATATACTCCATTATATCTGACCTTAAAGTATTCAACTTGGCATTTAGTCAAAGATATCGTAGATATTTCAAGAAGATAACTTGAGGACAAGGACTTGAGACCTATTTTCTTATGGTCTCTCCTACCTTTTCCCCTTCTAGCAAGGCAACAGAATAGTTCCAGTGATTGTCTTTTGGTAAAAACCATTTTGTGTCTTATGTTATTTCATTGTTCTTATTTTATTTTGTTCTAGGTCCAGGGGCAGCCATTAATGGTACAGGTCAGTGGAGGCCAGTTAATCACATCAACTGGCCAGCCCATCATGGTTCAGGCTGTCCCTGGTGGACAAGGTCAAACAATCATGCAAGTACCTGTATCTGGGACACAGGGTTTGCAGCAGGTGAGTGGTATTAAAAAAAATGTTTAGACAGAATATCAGAAGAGAGGTTTTAAAGAATAGTTTGTTACAAACTGTTTGACAATTGATATTGCATTTAATTGCTTCCTACCCTCTATATTTGTATGTAGTTGATTTTCCACCTTTGTTGTACCAGTGATATAAAGCAGAACTATACAGAAATTGGACATCTCTGATAGGGACTGAGATATTAGGCATGATTTTGAAACGATGTAAAGATTATAAAGAGATGAAAATCTCTGTTTAATAGAAGTAATTCATTGGTGTGACCTTTGTTCGCACTTTTAGGCACAGGGGAAGGGAATTTACAATCTGCTTTGGAGATTGTTGTTTTTGGTCAGAGGTGTTACCCTTTCATTTCTTTCCATGTAATTTATAATTTGAGTTATCTAGCAAGTGATGAAAAAGAAAATATTTTAGTCCAAACCCATTGCACACACTTAAAGCTGTACTTAGAGTAAAATTTGTAACCTTATATACTTTATTTTAAAAGAACTGAAAATAAATGAATGGTATTTCTCTGAGGAAGTTAGGAAAAGAACAAAATGAGCAAAAAAGTAGGTTAAAATTAATGAAGTAGAAAACTAACAAAAATGTAAAAAGGGTAAATAAAAGCTGATTCTTGAAACAGACCAATAAAGTAGTTAGATAAATCCACTGGAAAGACTGATTCAGAAACAGAACACAAAGGTAAACAACACAAAGATGTATAAGAGATTAAAATTATGTAGGAATGTTAGGTACAACTCTGTGGCATCAAATTTTGAAATTAGAGGGATATTTTTATCGTGAAATTGGCAAAAATTAATTTAGAGTGATTATATCCAGTGCTGGAATGGGTGTGGAGAAACGGAAACACTCATTGTTTTTGGTAATTTCAAATTCTGAAGTCATTTTGGAAAGGCATCTCACTATTAAATACATAAATCTTTGATCTGCCTGACTCGCTTCTGAGCATCTATCCTTTAGGAAGAAAAGCATCAATACATAGGGAGAAATCTACAGAGATATTTATTGCAGGATTGTACAAACAAAATATTTTGTAACCTGAATGTCTATTAATAAGAAAAGAATAAGGAAATGGTTAATAAATCATACTATATCGATACATGGAGTATTATGTCATTGATAAAAAAGATGAACTGTAGACATGGAGATGATTATTATTGAAGTATTTTTAGTGAAAAATAATTTGAAGAAAAATACATACTATGTGATTGCATCTTTGTAATTAATAGCCAAAACCCTATGGGTATATGTGTTTATGAGTATGGAAATAGGGATGAGGGAGGACTATTAACTTGTTACTATATCTATATATTTTGTTTTAACAGTTATAATGATCACATTAAAGTCTTAGTTTTTCTGGAGGAATTTAATATAAGTTGAAAGAAATCAGCCATATCACACTGCTTGATAAATTAAATTTTTAATTTTTGCATATTCCCTTGTGGTTTTTATGCATACTTTTTGAGCACAATTGTACCATGCATGTAGTTTCTTTTTGCTTTTCTTTTTTTAAAATTTAACTTGTTTCCACATGATTTTCTCATTTTTAATTCCTTCATAATGGTCAATTTGGTGAATCAGAATTTACAATTTACAAAGTATATTTAGGGTTTTGTTTTGTTTTCTTTTTCTTTGTTTGCTTTTGTAGGTAAGATTACTGTAAATGTATTTGAGCATGATAACTTTATTTTTCAGTTGTATTAATTCTTAGGATAATTTCTTTGGAGTAGGGTGATTGCTTGGGCAAAAGGTAATAGCATTTTTAAGGCTTTTGGCATATTTTTGCCAAGATAGAGTTGTAGTTAGGATTAAAAATAGTTTCCCCATTTCTCCATGCATCAATGTATGAGGCTTTAAGTACATTTTCAGTGTGTGTACTTTCTTCAATTCCACACTGCTGTTTCATTTCTGTCCTTCCTCTTATTGCCTCCTCTCCACCCCCTTTACCACGACTTCCTCTCCACACAGTGTGATGTAGTGCTAGGAACAGTGTACTGCGACTGTGGTGACCTGACTTTCATTCCCAGGTCTGCCGTTAAACAAGCTTTCTGATCTTGGCTAAGTCATGTAATAGGCAGTTTTCTCACCTGAAAACCCAGTGTATATCAGGTGATTTTTAGGATTCGTTCCAGTTCTAAATTCTATGATTTTATGGAGAGTTTTTTTTTTGCCTTTGAGAGACTTTGAAAAGATTATTTATTTTATTCCCCTCCCTCCAAGCAGCACTGTAACTAATCAAACCATCCTGGAAAAATTATTGTTAACATATATAATAAGCCTCTAGATAAGATTCCATAGCCTTCCTTAGAATGCTTAAAGTTTCAACCCCTTTTTGTAAGAGTTTGCTTCTCATTAGTGTTTTTTGAATGACCATTGCTTTTAGAACAGTACTTCTTGACCTTTTTTGGATTGCATTCACTACTTCAGAATTCCAGTGAAACCTATGCCCTCTTCTTAGAAGAGGTGCAGATGTCCAGATATGTGCAAAATTTTGTGTACAATTTTAGGTTAAGATCCCTGGCTTATAAATATACAGTGGAACTGCAGTAGAGAGGCCAGACATAGGTGCAAGAGTAATGGAAGTTGATATATAAAAAAATAATATAAAATATCAGTGAAGAAATGGTTTAAGAATGATAAAGAAAAGGAAAGTTGATCTCTACCTTTTACTATATACAAAAATACTTGCTAGATAGACTAAAGGTCTAAATGTAAAAAAGCGTACTTGGAGACTTTTAGATTCTCTTTATAGGAGAATTTTCTTTATGGTATGGGGTAGAGAAAGATTTCTTAAAGACATAAAAAATACAAATTGATTTGACTATAATTTTTGTGTACATCAAAATGTATCACAAGTGAAGGTAAAAGATAAGGTGCAGACTTGGAAAAGATATTTTTTACACATATAACTGGGTTTGTATCCAGAATACATAAAGAACTTTTATCTATTGGTGTGAAAATAACAATCCAGTAGAAAAATGGGCAAAGAATGTAAATAGATGGAACCCTAATGACCAATAACAGGTGTTCCTTGCTATCCAGAACACAAGAAAATGGATTCGGATCACCAAATAAATTTGTTTACTTATTTCTTCTTTTACCAACACTTGCTAAGTGCCAACTATGAGCTTAGTATTTGGAAAAAGTAGTTAAGAAGACCTAGGCAGAGGATGCTGGCAAGATTGTGGAGGGGGAATCCCCAGGAGTCTGTCTCCCCAATCAGACAACAATTGCACTGGCAGAATCTGATGTAAATAACTATTTTGGAACTCTAGAATCTGTTGAAGGCTTGTAACATCTAGGAGAAAACTTAGATGGTAATTTGAAGTCAGTTTCAACTGGTAGACCAGTAGCAGCTACCCAGCCCCCTGGCAGGCAACTGTGCATGGTTCTTGGAGCAGCTTGCACATAGCTTGTAGAAACTGGGGTGGGCAAAATGGCCCCTGTCCTCCAGATATCAGAGATCATTGATTACTGCTTCTGATGACAGAGATGCAGACAAAGAGGTGGGCAGCCTCTGTTGCACCTCCCCCATTGCTATAAGCTCCTCCCCCTCCAGTTAAGGTGACTTCCAGGGCATTTAAAAGGCCAGCACGCTTCCCCTTCCCTACCTTCCATCTTTTCTCCTTTTTGAGAGTCAGATACTAAAGATATTCAAAGGATATTCAAAGATACTAAAGGATATTCAAAAGCAACTCCATATATGGGAAAGGTTAGAAAGTGACCGTGCATGCCCAGGGAAAGGTACAGGCTCTGAAAAGACCTGAGAAGATCTTAAGTTTACACCTCAGGCTGATTCTTGGTACAGAGACAGCCTACAACAAAAGAAAACAATAACAAAGAACAGCAAATCCTGGGGAAGGGGGAGAAGCTGATTTCCACAGTTACCACATTATTTGATTCAAATGTCCAATTTTCAACAAAACATCACAAGGCATACAAAGAAACAGGAAAGTATGGCCCATTCAAAGGAAAACTTAATCAACAGAAACTGTCCTTGAAAAAGACGGATTTATTAGACAAGCACTTTAAAATAACGGTCCTAAAGAAAGATGCTCAAAAGTCAAGAAAGCAGTGTGTGAACAAAAGGAAATATCAACAAAGAGATAGAAAACCAGTGGATTGACATGCACGTTTGTGGGAGTCCCCGAAGAGAGAAAGGGGCAGAGAGAATATTTGAAGAAATAAGGGCTGAAAACTTCCCAAATTTGATGAAAGACATGAATATAAACACCCAGGAAGCTCAACAACCTCCAAGTAAGATGAACTCAAAGAGACCCATACCAAGACACATTATAATCAAACTTTCAGAAGTCAGATATAAAGAGAGAATCTTGAAAGCAGCAAGAGAGAAGTGACTTGTCACCTACAGGGAATCCTCAATACAAATGTTAGTAGATGGCTCATCAGAAACTTTGGATGCCAGAAGGCAGTGGTCTGATATATTCAAGATGCTAATAGAAAATAACTGTCAACCAAGAGTCCTGTAGTCAGCAAAAATATCCTTCAAGTGTGAGGGAGGAATTAGGAGATTCCCAGATAAACAAAAGCTAAGAGAGTTTATTACAAATAAACCTGTCCTGAAAGAAATGCTCAAGGGAGTCCTTCTGAGTGAAATGAAAGGACGTTAGACAGTAACTTGAAGCCACATGAAGAAATAAAGCCTCAATAAAGATAAACACATGGGCATTTATAAAACTAGCATTATTGTAACAATGATTTGTAACTCCACTTTTTGTTTTATACATGATTTGAGACTAGTATATATATATTTTTTAATTTTATTTATTTATTTTTTTCCCCAAAGCCCCAGTAGATAGTTGTATGTCATAGCCGCACATCCTTCTAGTTGCTGTATGTGG